TTTTTCACTTTTCTTGGATCTTACCTTTGATAGCTGTATAGTTTGCATTGGTGACTAAGTCTACGATAATTTTGTTTGCAGTTAGTGTAAGTGAGATAGAAGCACTATACGATGAAAAATGACAAAGGACGTTAAGAGTCTTATGTGATCATCAGATACTTTGAGATTAAAAGAAAAAAATTATAAGACAATTGCAAGACCAACAATACTTTATGGATCTCGGTGTTAGAGAGTTAAGAAACAACATATACAAAAGGTTTGTGTAACCAAAATGAGAATATTGAGATAGATGTGTATAGTTACCAGGAAAGATAGAAAAATAAATACTTCTATTCATAAATAACGAGGTATTGCTCCGACAAAGGATAAGATGAGAAAAAATCATTTAAAATGGTATGGATATGTGCTTATAAGACCCATGGATACGATAATCATAAGAAGTGAAATGATTAATATTTGTGGCACGCGGAGAGGTAAAGAAAGACCAAAAAGACTTTAATAGAAATTATAAATAAAGGTCTAAGTCCTTTAAACTTAACTAAGCATATGATTTTTTTTACATATCTCAATGGTGACAAAAAATCCATGTAGTCGACCCTAAGTAGTTGGAACTTATGACTTTGTTGTTGTTGCTGGTGTTCGGAACTAGTCCTAACTTAGCACAAGTATAAACAATTTATCTTGTTTTGGCTTTAGTTGTGGTATTCACTGTCAATCTCGACATCCTTCTCTCTAGCATATGACTTTTGGATATGTTTGTTTTTAGTTGCCCACATTTTCATCCATAAAGCATACATAATATAATAGTCATTTAATTCTTTTTCCAATTGAAATGGGCATAGAACAATTGCATAACATTCGATTTTTATATAAGCAATAATTTATTCAATCTCTATTTCTAGCTGAGAGATAAATTTAAGGTATCTAAGGGCTTTTGTTGTCCCTTTTCTTTTTTTGGTATTTCCAAATCATTAGTCAATATTATATCTGAATTTTTTGGTCTAACATTGGTATGCTACATTGCACATTTTTATTTGGTTCATCTCAAAATAACTCTGACCTCAAACAAACTAAATTTAAGTTTTTCTTTCTAAACTGAGTTGTTTTTAGGAGACCCTCACACATGCATACTATACGCTTGATGTGAAATATTTGTAGTCAGGGGAGTATGATATATTATTGATGTATGTGCTACCATGTTAATTATTTTGAGAATTTGTCATTTTTTTTGTTTAAACAAGTTATACTGTATGGAATGATAGAAGATTGTTGTTATATCTTGTTTCATTTTGGCAACGACACATCTAGAAGGTATGTTATGCCCCAAGAACAAATTATATCCTGGTCTGATTTACCTCATTAAGAACATGTCCCACGGATGGACAAGTTTCAACCAAATGGCTATCATTATTTTCTGATCTGCTTCCTAGTATCCCCCTTGCAACCCTTTTAGCAGCTTCAAGATTGTTCTTGAATTCATCAAAGTCAATGCCAGTGGCTTCTTTAACAAGATTATGCATAGTTTCCCTTCTCCACGGTCGCTGTAGTGATATTTGAACTCCCTACAAAAAACTAAAAAAAGTTGGTGACTTGGTGCTACAAACAGCAAGCTAGCTTTAAACCAGGAAGTATAAAGAGCTTAGAAAGAAAAAGCATGCTTGAGTATGTTTACAGTTTACACATCTAGACATTTAAATATATCCTATAAAATTAGAACCTAGTCAAACTAACAGCCACCAGATTCCAACTTCCATGAAATCAGAACTACTTGTTACTCAAAAACACTGGAAGGAGTATTTTCATATGCATCACATGCTATACAACTTATAGATCAAGTTTTGGAGTAATTCATGATGCACTTCATGTTGATTTCTAATTCTAGTGCACATTTAAATGTGGGCTTCTCTTCATGACATCAACTATACCCTTCTTGAAACGGCACTATTGAAAGTTGAAACTCTACACAACTTGAATCAAAGTCATCTTCATTATAAGTTTATAACCATAAGAGACTTTGCAAGCTTGTCACTGCTACAGAGTTGTTAATGCTATGACTTGCCAAAAGAAGTGCCAAATAACATGCTGAGGCCTCATAGTTGGCCACTTTTCAGGCATGTCAATATGTACCAAGTGATGGCATGAAGCATTGAAAACCAGCATCCATCAGCATAAACTGGCACATAATAATATACATATATGAATGATACAAACCTCAATACCATCTCAGAATTTTGCTGTCACAGTATAAAAAAATTCACATGATAGTATGCCACATGCAAGCATGGAGGCATAATACAAATCTTGATGGCCTGAACCAAGTACTTCACAATCTCATGACCTGTCCATCAGTCCCTGTTCTAGCCAATAGAACTTTCATGAGTAGTCTAAGCTAAGTTATTAGTACAAATATATTTTGCCTAGTGGGTATTTAGAATCCATGCATTCTATCAATGAAATATGTGTTATTATATGAAGTTATGAACTAATGACCAATTAACAAGAAGTTACCCGCCAACAAGGTTTTCAATCAGGCAAAATTTACCTGATAATCAATGTCAAGCTTCCCATGAACCACAAGAGCACATTGAGTAACAATTTCCTCAGCCATGTTCATCATGCTTTGGTAGTCAGAATATGCTTCATACATCTACAGGCAAAGCTAGTGACAGAAAAATCAGTATAGCAAACCAAAAAAAAAGCAAGCTTAATAGTAACAGCGTCTTCATTTAAATGTTTATTTCAATGCAAAATATGCTTGAAAATAGCAGCAGTAGCAGTCACATAAAAACTAAAAAAGAATATTAGTACGACCTCAATAGTGGTGAACTCAGGATTATGACGGGTTGAGATGCCTTCATTTCTGAATATTCTCCCTATTTCAAATACCTTCTCAAGGCCCCCTACCTGTAATTATCATGCATGATTAGGAAAGATATTTGGCTGAAGCACGAAAAGAACACTTCAATACTAGAACGACAATAAATGCTAGAATTTACACTTTTAGGCAAATGAAGAAATTTGCTCAACAAGCCACTTACAAGACTTGGACTTTTGGTACAATGTTGAAAATATGCTAGAATTTACACTTTTAAGCAAATGAAGAAATTTGCTCAACAAGCCACTTAAAAGACTTGATGGACTTTTGCTACAATGTTGAAAATATCACCAGCTTCTTCAGTTGTATTTTTGAGAGACCAATTATTGATGTAATTGGTATATGAACGTGTCTTTCTAAGTTCTCCCAGTACCATGAGGCAGCACCACTCCCGAAAGATTCATTTGGTCAAAGAACTACAAATATGTCATGTCTCACCCAGCGAGTTAAACATGATTAGTAACATCTCTTCATTATTATAAATTGTGATGCCAAAAGCTTTGTGCAGTGAGAACCTATAAGTTGTCAGATTAAGCATCATCAACATGTTCCTAGAAAGTGAAAAAAATTATTTAGATTTAAGTAACAAGTTTTTGTTGATGAAATATGTGACTATAAAGAAGACACTATCAGCCCATATTTGAGCAGTCCACACATACAGTATGGTGAAACTTCTAACCCAATTGCTTAACAGCATGGTGTCTTTTACAAATTCTTCTCAGGATCTAAAACTTAGTAATATTATCAGATGCTTATCTAATGACAATATAATTCAATTTGTGCAAATCAAAACTTGGATGCTTCAGAGTTCAGAAAATGTACTATAGGCCTATGGGGATTTTCAAACTATCAATGTGAGTTAAAAGTTAAAACATCGATGTTTTGATCTTTGCCTCAAATAAAAAGTAATATTTATGCTTTGTCATTTATATTTCTGCCATGGGGAATTACATGACTATCAACCAAAGAATATGGTTCTGGTATTAGTTCATTCATATGAACCTTCATATGAATACACAGGATAATGTAGAAAAAAGAATCCATTAAATCAAACTATTCAAATGCATAACTGAGCTAATGCTAATAGTCGTTCTAGATAGCTTTAGAACTTAAATGGCTTATTATAAGGGATTACTCATCCCCATCGAACTAAGATCTCGCAATTTGATTAGTCTCGAATACATGACCAAGAAGATGAACTAAGATGCTCCACTTGAAGAGTATTATTAATAGTTGACAATTAAAATGCCAATTAAACTCACCAGCATTCTCTTCAAGTGAAGCTCTGTTGCAATTCTTAAATAAAGATTCCTTCCAAGTGAATTATGATAAGTAACAAAAGGCCTAGCTTCTGCACCCCCAGCTGCTCCCTGATATACCAATAAAGCCATATAAATAAGTAACCATCGGCTCATAAAAAATACAAATTAAAAAAGAGAAAGAATTTAAATCATTAACAGCAGACAACCAAATACCACTTCAACGGAAAAAATAAATAGGATATTTTGGTACGAACATATATTGAGCCCAGTAGGTTCATCATATGTTGGTTCAAAGGCATCAGAAGACTAAGAAATAAAGGCAAACATTATCCAGATATCAAGCTTGATTAAAAAAGTTCATTTTACAATTTAAGCTTGCACATAGGCAAATAAGTTAATAGGTACTGACTATCTCTGTCTCGAAAGAGAGCACATAGGCATGAAGAATGCAGATTGAGATTAAAACTTAAAAAGAATTAAAAGTTGCAAACTACTGCCCGGTGCACATTCTGATGGAAGAGAAATGAAAATGACCATGATCAATCTTGCCTAAGACAAATTAACCAACTGTGAATTTGCATGCAGAGTAAAATAACTTAACATTATTTTACAACATCCTTTCTGGATGTTATTCATAGAGCTAGCGAAAGCTTAAGCTTTATTTGATACTCTTTGTATGTGCTCTTAAATTTATCTCCCTCCTTGCCTTCTTCCCTAATAAAAGAGCCTAAGCATTCAAGTCCAATCCTTGTGTCCACATCCATAAAAGATTGCATTTTTTATGCTTAAGTGGTTGGAATTTTTGTGGTACTCTCTGTTTGTTAAAATCTATTACACAAAACAGAAAAGTTCTAAATCTATTTATACAAAATATTTGATTGGCGGCCAATTCTAAATCTATTTATACAAAGTTGTGACAGACTTCAAAGGCCTTTATGTTAGTTTGGCAACATGTGGGTGGCACGCTTTCTTCAATTTCACATGTATGAGCTGAACCAGAAAGAATCTCAAACAGATTTTGCTCAAGACCCCACATCACTAGCTACAGAGGATAATAGAAGGTTTTGGTGGATAAAGTTAGGATAAAAAAACAACACGAGGAAAAGGAGGGTTTTGTTAGAATTGAACATTGAACAGTAAGAAACAGTAGCCAAAGACAGATTTGAGTCAGCATATCATTGTTAAATTTAAGAAGTGCATCTTTACCAGCATGTCATCATCTGCCACCAGCTAAATGTTAAGGTATATCAATGAGGCAACATTTCAATTACCTAGACGTCTCATGCCTAAACTTCCAGCTCACAGCAGAAAAGCATGAAAGCATGTTACACAATGGTCAGTCCGACAACCCCTATCATGTACCATCAATGCTCCAAAGAAGTTTAGAAACATCATGATAGTCATCATGGATGACCAAAATTAAACATGTAAATTAGTGAAAATCCATATAGAAAGGCCAAGTTCAAACACCTGAACCTACCTACTGGTTTAGAGTAATGAAACAGATGATTAGCATGGATAACAATTAGTAGGTTTTGGCTATTACTCCCACTAAAACCCATCTATTGAAGGCTCAAATGTCTCCTTAATCTGTTTTATACATTCCCTCTATTAGATGGTCTGCTAGCAATTGGCAATAACATACCTGGCCCTCTATGGTCAGGTGAGATCTTGAAGCATGATGAGTGGTGTACATCATCCGGAAAACAACATACTTGTCGCGCTCAAATTTAAAGAAAAACAAGATTATTAATCTTCTTGTTGATGATTTGAATTGAAAAGGTCCACAACAAATAGAAAGCAAAATTTCTTAGTTGACAAAGCACATAGTTTCAGGGGCTGTATTAGCTTTCTCAACTGAGAGAAACCATCATAGTAGCAAGGTCTCTTAGATCCAAAACTAGTCTGATGGTCAATGATAATAGGACTGATATTCATGCAGAAAACAAAAAGATGAACTGAAATCATCTACAGCTATCTCACTATGTACATATTAATCGAATACCCTAATTGGACAAACTTCTATCTACACTCAACATTTGAGCCGAAGGCCACAACCAACTCCACTCCTTCCTACTACTTTGACATAGTTTTTGCTGTTCTTTAAATTTCTCCATCATTCTATTGGTTGCACATATTCTCCAAGCATTTTTGTATCATAAACAGAAACAATTCATGATCCGATCAATATTATATAACTAACAGCAGTGAGCAAGATGATCTTTTAACATCAAACAAGTTCAAAGAATTGATAAAGGAGTTGTTATAGCAATTTGACAAGTGATATCTGTAAGACTGTAAAATGTCAGAAACAAAAGATTTTGAACCAAGCAGAATGATTCTAATAGGCATTACCTGTAAGACTGGAGTCTCAACTTCAATAAAACCTAAAGATTCCATTGTCTTGCGAATCTCAGAAACAATCTGAATTTGTCGTACATAGTCAATGTATACACAGAAACAAGAATATGTTAGTTTTGAGGTGCCACATTCTAGAAGCATGTACCAAAGAGTAAGCATTAAAAATTGGCTAAGCAAAAAGTAGTAATAATGCAACTGACATAGCATGGAAAGAAAGAAAGGAAACTATAGTGTTCAAGTTACAAACAGGGTTTAGACTTTAGAATACTAATCTGATACTAATTCTGGAAAGTCAACAAAGTAATACATATTGATCAGGATGGTACAGGTCAGTACACACCAAAGTATAAAGAAATATTCAACATTGGTATTTGATACAACAGTACAACTTACCTGCACCTGATCAGACAGGTTTATACCGAGCAGCACAGTCACCATACCACATAATTTCAAGTCACCCAAGACATGCATATAAATACTGCATAATTAAGAGTACTAAATTATATTGTAATATACCAATCCTTGGACGAATTGGTAAATACCAGGCGATACATACTGATCCAACCAGTATTTAATTCCTTGTGAAGACATTAGAGCATGGCAGTAGAAAAAAGAATTTGGCTATTAGATGTAACATAAAACCATCAAGAGTTTCATAGTTCATTTAACAAATTCCTGCAAGGTACAGGTATGTAGAGGTGATAAGTAACAAATATATGTCACCACATTACAAGAACAACTAACAAAAAAGTAAAGGAAATATTCAATAGGATAAAAAAACAAAGCCAAAAATCCATTCAAACAAATTCTCCATTAGAAGAAAACATATCCTTTACCACCTTAGCTCTTATCCTAAAGACATCAGCAACCTCATGATTGGCAATCATGTCCACATACCTGATCACAAAAATAAAAACTGAAATTAAGATCATTTTGCAAGAATTAAATGTGTGATTAGATATTATTAAAGTATGGGATTTTGCCATCCAAAAAAAATGATGTAAATTTTAGCAATATAAAATCAAACTAATAGCCAAAACTAAAATCAAAAACAACAAAATAATATCAAACTAATAGATGGACAGTTTCTATGAATTGCTGTGCTAGGAGGATGAAGGATGATAATTACATTTGTTCTCTTCTGAGCAAAATTTGGTTATAAAATCCTAACTCAAACTCTTTACAAATTCTTCAAACTGAATTCCAATTATTCATTGTGAAGCCACTTCAAGTCCAAATTAGATTTTTGCTTATTATTGTCTACCATGGCCACACAAAAAATCTAAATGAGTTAGTCTTCGGCTTGAGTATATCAGTAAAGTTGTTTCTGTCTCTTGGGCAGTACCAGATTCCAATTGAATAAGAGAAGAATGGAAGGAAGCTCCTATAGCATATTTTGATGAATTGAGATGCTGATTTCAAGCTTCTGGATTCATGGCCCTTAAATATAAATTATCTACTCGTCAAGACTCAATAAGCAAATCGGTGATGCCATGAAAAGTAGGAAATAAGACAGTTCTCAAGTTCCTTAAGTTCTCTTAATTTAGAAGCTGATTTCCTTATGCCTGGAGTCTCAGACCTCTCTCCAGCAGTTCTTACCATCTATGAAAAGTCAGCTAACAGGAAAGTACCTTTTAATGTTTACTACTTCTGGATTGATGACAGTTCTTGTTGTCAGGATTTCAAGCAAACAAATATGAGGTACTAGCGATTTCAAATTGCACCAGATCTTAAGCTTCTATTTGAATTTGAAGTGTTTTAACAAGTCTGGATATTGACAAGGTCTTGTCTAAAAGAACAAACAAAGATAACAAGTCTAGATATTGATAAGGTATTCATAGCAATTTAATAGCTGAAATTTTCTTCAAAACAAGCTCAAGGTTGAATGCATCAGATAAATTAGATCTCAACAATAAAAACATACATGAGAGGTTCATCAAAGAAACATACGAATATGACAAAAAAAATTCTGCAACTGACTGACAAAAAAACAGAAATATAATTACAACAAATTTTATACAAAATACTAGCTTCAGCTCCTGTACAAGTATATCTATTCAGTCTCAAAAAGGAGGCAGCCTAGCGCAAAGGTTCCCAAAAATTAAAAGCCTCTCAGTTTCCTGTGAACTAAACTCTTGACACTCAAATTACAAGGAAGCATTTTATCGTGGTTTTAAAGCACTCACTTTCTGAAGGAAAATAAAAGTTATTTGTCAAAAACCCTTTTAAACACAAAAATGCATAGATACTTCTTATAGGAAACCAGACAACAATCATGTCTTGATTTAGAACAAAGAAGCTCACCGTTGGCGATATCGCTTATCCACATCAGTTAGACCATGATATTTATCTGGTAAAGGGAGTAAAGATTTTGTAAGGATTTCAAAATTCTTCACACAAACAGACAACTCCCCTGCACAAAGGAAAGAAAAATCAAATCAATATATTTTTTAAAAAAAGAAAAGACAAAACAGGCCAATCTTAATTAATAAGAACGCTTTTGAGATCCATTCTAAGATTCAATTATATGAAAACAACAAAAAGATTGTCACCCAGTATCTAATACTTAGCTTTTTCTGATATAAAGCTCATAATCATCAATGTAATTGTCTAGCATAGAACATACATCATCACGTTCTCTAGCAAAATCCAACACATAATTCAAGGAATGTAGAGCAAGTTGCTGGTCTAACCTTTTTCTGTCTTCTTTATGGATCCGTTCGCACCGACAATATCACCAATATCAACAAATGTCTTCAGCTGCTCAAACTGATCCTCTAGGATTTCCTTCTCACAATAAAGCTATACCAAGCACAAGAAATTAATGAGAAACCACATGTAATGTTTAACATTCTCAGGTAAAATGATAACATTTAAAATTTTAGAAGTGTGAAATTATTATTCAGTAGTAGAGTTGGCAACAGGCCATATTAGGTTGGGTTCTGGTCTGATTGAGACTGGATAGTAAGGTATCCAGTCAACTTAAACCCAGCTCGATCATCCAATAGATAAAGATAATGGTCAACTAGTTTGAGCCTATTCAAATGGATCACCTCGGTTGACAAATCAAAATGGCTCATGGCTGTGCCATACAATTTTTTGGAGGAAAAAGCTAGGTTGGCTCAGATCAAATTGAGCCCCGTAGATGGTAAAACAATGCTTATCCCATACCTGACCACCTGTCAATTGGCTTATTTCCAACCCATTAAATCATTTCCATAGGTTGGAGAAGGCCAAGTCAAAGCATAATTTGCCTGGAAAATGTGATGTGCTGAGTTGAGATACTGCTAAAAATAGGGGGGATGCCACTTAGCTTCATTCGCTGTGCTTGGAAAGAAGGATTATTTAGTTTGTTATTTTAGGCCATGGTAAGAATTTAATCACTAATTTAGATCACAAACAGTATTAGGTAAAATTTTATTGTATCGGTATTAGCTATGTATCTAATTGGGTAAAAAATATGGTAAAATGCTTAAGGCTCTTAACTTGTTGATCTTCTTTATTGTTTAGTAACAATTAAAAGACTAGATCTACCTTGGCATAATTGCAATTCCTAATCTAAACCGTATTACAACTTGGGCTGTGTCTTTAGACATTATGGTCTATAGATACTCAATGAGTTGCCCAATTACACACCATGATCAGTTTACACATTGTATCGAGGTCGTCCAAATTGCATCTTGTTGTCTACAACATGCTGGTACAACTAGTGTCACATGGCTTCCTACTACACAACCATAATTATAGAAGATGTCAAATGGCACAACCCTGTCCCCAAAAAATATAGATCTTTCTATTTCAATACGATGTGCCAGCTTATAGGGTAAGAATTAAAGCTACACAACCATGTAAGTTAAGGACTAAAGCCAATCATAAATTATTGTGCCAGCTAGTACATGGCATATCAACATGATGGCAACACAAATAACTGCATATGGAGTTTTATATGTTGGTACGGTCCTTTAATAGGGGTTTTCTTTTCGGTAGGTGGAAGAATATAATTCTAGTTTGATAGAAGATTCGAATGAATGGCTTGATCTTGCAACTAGGTTATTTCTATTTTAGTTTCTTTGCTTCTTTATCTTTCCTCCTTTTTTCTCTTAGTGTTGCCAATAAGTGTGCCGGTGACATAGAACAAATGCATGGAAGGATTTCAAATTACATTAAAGCACTATCCATTTAGTAACCAAGAACGAGGTTGCAAAATCTTTTAACAAAAAATTGTATATTCATATAAATGTAGAATTTAACTGGGACCCTAGGATTCACACCTAAGACAATGTGGTAATCTAGAGACAAAGAAAAGAAAGTGAATTTATACCACATTCATTTTGATGCCAGCAATCACTCATACAAATCCATCAGGGAAGTAGAAATTAATTTAAACTTTACTGTATACAGGAAGGAAAAAACTAAGTCTCAGGCATCTGATGAGATAATTCAAGGACACAAGACCACTGGTATCAGGCTTTGGGTTTGAGATACTTGGGGTACCTAGGTCTCTACGAGAAGAAGTGATAAGTTTGATCAAATTCCTAGAGTTGTACAAGAAGAACTAAAAGACTTCCTTTAGTAAATGCTGTTAAATACAAGGTAACTCCTAGATATACCAAAAAGAACTGTTCAGAAGAACACATAGATCTGTATTTTATAAAGGATCTATAGTGACTACAATTTGGCATAATTTTAGCTCAACACTTGATTTAAAGCTTCCTTGTGTCACTTCAAATACATTATATCCATCCTCCCCTTTTCTGCTAATTCCCTCAAAATCTATTTGTGAATTCAATCTAGTGTTCCAAAAATCAGAAACTAAATTTACTTCTAGTTCAAATATCATGTTCATTATATTCATAAATTCCAGAAATCTTGAGCAATTCTTCTGCAAAAAAACTAAGCTTACTTATAGGATCATATCACTATCCAACAAATGTTATTTGGCAAAACCTTTAGTTCGACTTAAAATTTTTAATACCAAAATATGGTTGTCAACTGTCAAACCCTTTTTACAAAAATCCCAATCTTAGTTGTGGACATATTTTTTGGGAGTACATGAGAATTCGACCCTCTTTTATGGTCTCTATTCTATATAAATCCTAAACCCAAGTCTCTTATTTACAATATCGATCTGTCCTATCAGATATTTTACATGATAAAGGCCGCCTGTTTACATATATAACTAGGTACCAAAAGAAAAGCAATCTTTGGCTTATAAAACCAACATAATTACCTCTGACAATTATACATTTTAACTGACACAGCTGGGTATAAAATTCAACAAATGGTAACTATAAAATTAATTGCCAAAAAATAAATCAAAATTTCATAAAAAGCAAGGGAGGAAAGAACTAAAAGCAAATTTTATGAAAATAAGTTCAGCACATAGCCTATGGCATGCACCACCTTCAAGATCTGAAAGTTGCCTATTATGCACTTGAAGTGGCACTTGATTTGACCAAAAAAAAATTCAAACTTGGAGGATACCACAAAGGAGATCATGGCAATAGTAAACGCTTTCAAATACTTTTAAATATCATCGTCAAGAGAATAGTATAAGACGAGTGGAAATAAGGATTCACTCTGAGTCTGAACAATCACACACTGCAGAAATTCTCTGAGGGTCATATGTAAGCCATCCTCACAAAGTTTAGGACTTCCTGCTGAACAAGCACACAGTGCAGAAATAGAGATAGAAACCCATATATGTGACTCAAGATGTTTAAAACTTTGAAAAGAAGATAAAGAAGATAGGTGAAAAACAACCGGACACACCTGAATTGTCCCAGAATCATCTCTTAGAGTCAAGAAAGCCAGTTTACCAAATGCTCTGCGAGCAACAATTCTTCCTGCAATTGACACTAAATCTTCCTTGCATTCTTCACCATTTGCCAATTGGCTATAAATATCTTGGAGTTGACATGCTGTGTGGCTCCTGGTCCACTTATATGCATATGGTTCATGACCCTTGCTTCTTAGTTCTTCAACCTGACCAACCAACTTGGTTCAGTGACATGTACCTTTAAAAATTCAGTATTCTTGTTACATTGAAATATTTTAAAATTTTTCATGCCAGGAAGCAGCTTAATTGATATGAAACGTACTACAATAAAACGTGTTAATATCTCTGTCTCTCTAGTCATATCGATTGAATAAAATAGTGAAACAGTAAAATAGACTATATATATACACGGACACACACATTAGTTAGGGATGCATGTCAACTGCGCATAACTATCTACAGAAACTAAAAGAAAAGCTTTAAGTTCCCAGGAGTCTAGTTTCTCTGTGGTCAGATAGATCTACTTGAGTATGGTTCCAGTTTCTTGACCATACAAAACAACACGGAAGGAAATCCAGCATCTGATTCCAAGAAATTTCTGAGACCCGTCGTATAAATTACAGCTCTACTCAACCATCCTGTAATAAACTCTTACAAAGAAAAGGAGTGACAAGAAGGCAATTTGGCGGGCATATCGAGAAGATCCAATAACCAGTTCATCGTCAATTTCTAAGGGCAGCAAACTTTCCTCACAAGAGAAGAAAGAGGAGTTCTGAGAAGGGAAAGAATTTGCCTTTTTAAGACGGATGGCACGAATGGATTCCCGGTCGGAGGTGGAAGACGAATTCCGGCCTCGACGGCCGGGATTAGCCGGGGCAACTGTGGTAGACGGCAATTCTGCTGCCGCAGCGGCGGAGGCAGCGGAGGAGGAGGAGCAGCACCGGCTTCGAACACTAACGTTTGCCCTAGAGGTCGCGGCGGCGCAGGTCGCCCTAGAAGCAAAGCCGATGAAATGCGAGGAAGCTCTCCACACCCTCAAGGCGTCCATCAATGGCCCCTCGAGCTTCCCGGCTAGAAGAAGGATATGGTGGAGAGGGCGTGGCTCTCGAAAAGGGAAACAACAGGATACGCTTCTTGAAAAGAAGATAGAACGCGCTCCCGTGGTCTGTGGCAATTGCACGAATCTAAATGCGACGTTCCCCTGATCTCCGAATCTGTTTTCAGCGATAATAATGCATAATCGATCAAAATATAAGAAACATTTTAGGTACTTAAAATTTCATTACTTGCACATAATAATAATTAACTTGAGTCTGACACCGCGTGACTGACACAGGTCGAAACGCCAACCGAGGCCCATTAACGATCGCTCAGGTTCGGTTCCACACGCTACGCCAGTAGCAATATCAGACGTCATCAGAAGGTACAATCCTACCCCCTACGGGCAGGTGCATCAGGTAACACCGAACTCCCCTATAAATACCCTTGCATTCTAAACAAAAAAGGGGGGAAAAAAACAGAAAAAACAACCCCACTACGATTGTTGACTGACTTGATCGTCGGAGGGGTCAGGTCGAGTTCTCCCGTCCCGACCTGTGTACAGGAACGAAGGCGAGGCGTTTCTCTCCGGGCGCGTTGGCAAGGAACCCCCTCGCGAAGGAACCGGCGACCCGTCATCCGGACCCGAACCAAGCCGCGTCGGCCCCGAGGTCACGGCTAAAAAGTTGTTTACACTAACATATACTATTTCAAATTTTTGAAGGAAATACAAGAAAATTTATTTATTTATTAAATAAATACTTTATATTTCAATTAATCGTCAGATTTAATGTGGCTAACATCCCACTGTCCAAATGTAATTCTTGAATGATATCGATAAAATCAACATCTGGATGACCAACAGTGATGAACAAGGCCAACGTGCCTGAGGTCAAATTGTATTCCATGGATTGTTCGACCTGAATGCAGATTCAGAGTTAATCGATGTTTATTTTATATTTGTCACAAGTCGATCTCGGGCAATGTAACACTTGTTTGACCGCAAAATGTTGAACCCATCTCACAGTGAGGAGGTCAAACTCTATAAAATTATGTCATGGGTTTCTAATAAATATACCTATGGATTTTAGAAAAAATGTTTAGTAAGATACATGAAAAGTACTTTTATAATGTGCTTGTCACTCTATTGATATATTGATACTGAGGTAACAGTCACGTGACACTAATACACTGATAGTGGCATCTATATAATAGTATGTGTTGGTGAACAAATACATCGTGACTGATGAGTCAGCACGGCTTAGTCAACGGATTGATGTTGGGAGTTGACGAGGTGATCGTGCCCTCGGGAAGGGGTGCTTATCGACGTTTGTCGATCTCCGGACCGATTGGCAACTCACCCTTGCACGCTGGATGGCAACCCTTGGGTTGAGATGCTCGCGGGCTCGTGGAGTGCTGCTAGGCCACCCTTCGCCTCACCGATGGCCAACAACTAAGTCATTTCGATACGGCTCGATGTAGTATCGCCGAACCCAAATGAAGTGCAGCACTGCAGCAGCCAAGCATGTGGTGTGCCAAGCTTGCAGGATACTACCTAGCCATGCCTTACTTCACAGACGGATGGTCGCTGATGTGGTTCGGCTACGCTGAGATGTTTCAGCGGTCTCCGCCCGACCTGCTGCCGTGAGGCCGACCTGCCACAAGCTGTGGAGGATCCCAAGGCATTTGTCCGAGCGTGAGCTGTTGCCAGCACCTCGAAAGCATCATTACAACCTTTAGGTGATGCACGAACAGCTTTCTCAGCATGGGACATGAGCTCTCTAGCATGTTCTCCGGATGCCCAACTTGGCCCATCCGCCGACGCCATCTGCTACACCGACGGCTTGCTCATGCTGGCACACGCAGTGAACGTCATCTCCTATCAATTTTTCTTGCCTTTAGCTCCGGCGGCCTCCTCTCGCCAACTGCACTGTGACTTCTGCACCTCTGTTCTTCGTGTTTCGGTGGGCAACTTTGGATGTTGAGCAGTGGAAGATGATGATGATGATGACGCAAGATCACCGTTACTGTGTTCAGGGTTGTAGTCCTTCACGTCGGAGGACGGCGGCCAGGATGAAGGCTTGTCTTCCTCAATGTCTGCCGAGTGGCCGAATGATGTCAGTGTCTTCACGAGATTCCGATGCCTGATATTTCTCAAAGCTTCACGTTCGGCTTTGGAACTTCTGGAAGCCCCGTCTTGCTGGGGTGCCGATCAGATTAGCAGGCGAAGAGCCTATCTGTTGCTCTGAGCAGTTGGGCAAAGGAGAACTTTCCAATGTTGCTCTTTAAACGTAGGGGTGGCAGAAGATTGGCTCCTTGGCTTACTGCTGCAGCTACTGATATGACCACAATTATCTCCACGGATTGAATTGTGTATTCCTTGGAACACCCCCACAGAGATCTTTGTTTCCAAACGCTGAGGATGCGCTCATGTTAATATATATATATAAATTTTTTTATAGTTATAAAAATAAAAACATCTAACTTTATTTCATCTATCTTTATCTTTACAGAGATCCTGCGTTATCTTTACAGCGATCCTCCATGAAGAGGTTGCCATCGGATGAAGAGAGGAACTTTATTTCTATGGAACACCACCACAAAGATCCTGCGTTGTCTTTACAGCTTTTTGAGAGGTTGCCATCGGATGTAGAGGAAGTACGATGAGGAGAATTGAGATAAAGTTAGAAAAGAAAAAAAGATAACGCAGATACCGATGGCAACCTCTCAAAAAGCTGTAAAGATGGCTTCGTTTCAATGATTCCTTTACCTTTCACTACTACCATTGAATCCGGAATATGTTATCCCAAATCTAATCCCGCCCACTTTTTGTGATACTTCGAACCATTACGCGATATCAGCTGAGGAACTTTTCCGTGTACTTCCAACTCTATCTGACCCGCTTAAATCAAATTATGATTTCGGATATTATATATATTTGTTCCACTTATATCATTTTGTGATACTGAGTTTAGATATCGTTTACGAAGAACTATAGAAGAAAAAAAAAAGGTAAACTTATTTCTCATTTATTATGGTAAAATAAGAGAAACACAAGTTCCTTTCTCTCAGTTTCAAATGAGTATGGTAAGAAAATAATCACAAACTTTCTTCTTGAAAAACATATCTAAAATAAGAAGTAATATATTACTTTCCACCTTAAATAGCTATCTCGAAACCTTTTTTGGATCTCTTAAATCTATCTCGGATTAATCTCAGTGCTATCTTCACGTCTTCTCGATGATACTATAATAAAATTTATTCGAATCCATTTATAACTTATTGAACATGATAATTTTCAACAACAAAAAAAAACTTATTGAACATGATTTCGAAATCATCGATTCGGATAATTCCAATTCCAACTATTATTAAAAAAAAATCATTTTTTTTTGAAAAATCGAGAACTGACTAGTTTTAATTCCGAAATGATTGGTTTGGAGCCGATGAACTGTCAAATCGGTTTGGAACCAATGAATCTATCATATCGATTTGGTTCCAATTCCAACTTGATTTCGTTTCAAGTCAAACCATAGCTATAAGAACAAAAAAAGAAAATGTAACACCCTTCAGCGAAAAGCCAAAACTAGCGAACTTTTACGACAATTAGCCCTTCAATTTTTTAAATCAAAATTAGATGAAAACCGAATTATTTAGGAACGCATGAATATTTTTCTTACCAATAGGCTCCTATACTTTTTGTAATTTCATACACGCCCAGAGTATTAAATCTAAATATTAGGAGGAACAAATCATGATGAATAATATGTTTCTGGAGATTACAATTAGTTGTAGTTTCCACATTAATGGACTAACGCAGCTTGGGCGTTATAGATTATAATATGTGCTTAAAGTTTGGGCCGAGAAGATTCGGCCCATTAGATATATTTGCATTATTCACTATCGATATTCGGATCCACACCCAAACCCGAGATGGTGTTAAGGGGTCTCTTGGGAGTTCTCAACGGTGCGTGCCTTCTCGCGCCTTTCGGGCGATGCGAGAGGGGAGTGCTTTCGTGTGCCTTTGGCTCCGATGGCGACCGGAATTTTCTCCTTTCTCGTCTCCCTCGCCCTATAAATTTGCCTTTCCTCTCCCGCTTCCCCTTCGTCTTGCTCTACGCATCTTGTGGTTGGGACCGTTAAGAGTTGGGGGGGGGTCGGCGGCGATGGGAAGGCGGAGGGTGGAACTCCGGCGGATCGAGGACAACACCAGCCGCCAGGTGTGCTTCTCCAAGCGCCGGAACGGCATACTCAAGAAGGCCAAGGAGCTCGCCGTCCTCTGCGACGTCGAGGTTGCCCTTATCCTTTTCTCCGCCAAGGGCAAGCTCTACCACTTCGCCAGCCCCTACAGGTCCCGTCTTTCTTCATCCTCCTCCTTCGAGAGAACCGTATGATTCTCTTGTGACACTGCAATTGTTCTCCATTTCTTGATTTTTATTTTTTTTGGGTGTCTGCAAGCTTAATTTGCCCGCGCATACGCTATATTAGAGACTGAAAACGTGGAACGAGCAAAAGTTTGTCTTTTGAGCACTCTCCAGTCGTTCTATGCATAAGAACACCTACTTTGCAGAATGGAAATGCTCACATGCCTCGTAAAGATCGATTCTTGGTTGTGGAAGATCCTGCTAGAATGATTGACCTGTGATACAATTAAAACTAGGAGTCCTAATCATTGATTAGTTCATCCTTCAAAGGAATTCTTTTCCACAGATCCCGGTGATGGATGAATTACATCTCTTTGATTTTTCAGATTTTGATAACATGGTCCAATTTGTTGTAGTAGGACATATGTGGTAATCAAGGAATGAAAAGGATGGTGCTCAGTTTAGCATCCACAGAATTCACTATATCGTTTAAAATTTAGAATCTATTCCTTTCTTGCTTAAGTTTGTTTTCCAAGTAGCCAGACTCAAGTGTTGGATAAGATCAAGTCCCATCAAAAGTTGATGGAGCTAACTGAATTACAAAGCTGTTGCACTTAAAAATTTTAGATCAGAACAGAAGAATAGGCTGAAATCAGGTTAGTGTTGTACCTTTTTGTGTATAATCTGCATAGAAGAATACCTTCTATAAGTTTGATAATCATTTTTCCACATTTCATCATAGATTAGATTCACAAGAAGTGGAATTTTATGTAAATCTTAAATAAGTAGTACTTTGGTTATCATAAATGACTTTTAATTAGCTTTATTCAATAATCTTGAACTCCTTATAAAAGCATAGCTGAACTGTGATGGAAATCTTACGACAAGAAGCCATATTCCCAACCATTTGGGGTTGGCTTCATGGGATTTCTTTTCCTGCCATTACATTCTACTGAGGGTGGTGTATCAGTAATCAAACTCTATCCTACTGAAATATTATCTTCCTAAAATTATCAGAAGTTGCGAAAGGCTTTTATATCCAGCATGCACAAATTTCCTATTAATAGGCCAAAATTTAACTGCATGCAGCTTATGAAGGTAATGTGGTAGGTAGCTGACATTTAATGTTCAAATTGAATCCCTCTTTGTACTTTTACAGGGTCAATCATGACTTTTAGCTTTAATTTTTTGTTGCCTTACTTAAGATGAATTCCAATTATGGTCCTTTAATATTAGTTGGGTATTTAATTCAGATTGCAGATCTAACTATTTACTCAATCTTACAGCATAGATAAAATAATTGGGCGTTATCGTCATTTTGTAGATTCAGAAAGAGAGGTTAATGAACACCATTCTGCACAGGTGAATGAATCTCTCTTTTGCTAAAAAACTGAATACAATATTTCTTTATCACTTTTCAAAGTCAATGCTCTTTTTAAGTTATTTGTAAATTTATATTTTTTTCCTGATAGAAAATTATAATGCTTCCCATAATTGTGGCAATTGTGCTTTAATCTGTGCACAACAATCATGGATGAAGATAAAGCTGTGACTAACAATGTCCATCGTATGATGGCTTTGATATCATTTCTATAGAAGCTAATGTCAAATTTGTTTATTCAAATAAAATAAAGGGACTGAACAAATCTGTCATAAGGAATCTATGGCATTTATGCTAGATATGAATTTTAAATAAAATTCATACGACCAAAGAATGCTAATAAACACTCCCCTCCTCTGGCCTAATTATAAGATCATTCTTGGTTTTGTATGATTAGTATTAAATTGTGTCTGTTGTCATTCTGATAGAGGGTGCACTTTATTAAGACAAAAAGCATATTAAGGTAAAAAAAATTGCAACTGTTATTGCCTCATATACTATGCTATTTTCTTTTCTTCCAGTTATAGCCAAAATGGACTCAAGAGTTATGCCAAAAGTGGCATTTGTTATTCAGCTAATCACTAATTAATTTTTTTACTCAAAATAAAAAGGGGGGAAATGCAATAGTAGCATCTATTGAGAGTGCAAAAACAGTCATACAGTGAAAATTTACACCAGTTGATGATTTGTTTAATTCTAGTACTGTAAGTTTCGTTTGATGACTTCTAAAATTTACGGACCACAAAATTTTGTGTTAGATTTATGAATTGATAAACTAATTTGTATAAATAGCAGAATGCAACCGGTCTGCAGTTATCTGAGTGACAATAGAACATCAATCATTCATCAATGATTAATGCAAAGAGAACTTGATAGCTTAATTGGACCTTTCTCGATTAAGAAAAAAACTGATATGCTTAACTTATTCTCATTTTTATATGTAACTCTGACTTGAGACATTGAAAAAGTTCTTTACATTGGTTCTTATTTTTCATTTGTTAACAGGGTCGTCTTAAAGACTTTAGTTATCCAAGGGTAGACTGTCAGATTCTGGAGATTGTTCAGTGGTATACCATCTGCACCATGTGTGTCTGTCTGTTAAATTTCATCACATTTTAGTTGATACAGAAAAGATATGCTCCAGGTGCCTTGATGAAACCAACATTTCCAAACTAAGTGTCAATGATCTCAGCCAACTTGAGAGCGTACTAGAAGGTACACTTGCACAGACAACGTCAAGAAAGGCAAGTGTAGCTCATATTTAATTCATGAATTAATCATATTATCATGGGTTTTGCTAAACTGCTAATCAGTTGAAGGGAATTTTTGTATGGGAAAATTAATGTCATCAAATCTGGCTAGAAAACTAATCTCAAATAAAGGCAAGACTAACATTTATTTGATTCATGTGCTAATTATGCAAGGATTCAAGCAAATGCTGATCCTTTAAAAGAGAACACTTTTGTGAATCAACTTTAATAAAGTATAGCTTGATTAATAAATTCAAAATAACTGAATCCGAACCTTGTTACCACTAGTTTTGTGCTTGCACTCAAAAGAAATTGTAATCTTTTCTGACAGTTTCAATCACTGTTTTCTTGTATCTGCTTCTGTCTCTACTCAGAAGCCCAAGCTTAATGTTGTTTCATTAAGAAAAAATGACTCCTAATTGTGCTTTTATTATATCGCCTGTGCCGAATTTCTTCTTCCTACCAGTGCATGTTGTGTACAAAATCAAAGCTTGAATGTAATCAGATGAGGGTCAGCAAATATTATCAGCAATTGAAATTTTTTTATCAATTTATATATATAATCAAAATCTCATGTATGATGACATTAGTTTCTTGCCAATTTTTAATCGTATTTCTCGTCGCTATATCATTTAGTAGCCATACTAATTATAACAACCAAGTTCTTGGTTGAACTCCTGATGCAAACACATCTGATGCTCGAGATAATTAGTAAGCTTCGTGAGAAGGTATGATCTATAGTAGTTCATTGGCAAAAAGCTTTTTTGTAATTTTTAGAAAGTTGTGTGCCAAGTATTTCATGAGTCTCAGAATTAGGTGTCGGATCTTTTTGAAGATTAAAATTTTAATTAACACAAGCATTGTTCCCAAATATTGGTGATCTGGTTGGCCACATCAACTCTTCCCTTCACTTTGCTCTTTTAAGGGCATTGCTGTTGACAATCCAACTTTTTGTTGTTATAAAGTCCTTTTTCATGAGTCCCATTTTTCATCATCTACGCTGCAAATCAGAATGAAGTTTGGATTGCAGTAGATAAAGGATTATTAGCACTTGACAAAAGCATCAGCAATCCAGCCATCAGGAATTGTACAAGTACCTGAAGGTGCATAAATTTTAGCTTGACACAAATTTACTTCAGATGATCTAAAGCTTGGAGCATAACTTTGGAAACAACTTCCTTAAGCTTTGCCTTCCAAACTACTATTGGAACTTACATGAGCTTCTTTTGTTTGCTTACACATATCTTACCTGGTTTTTGTCAATCTATCATTCAGGAGATGACATTGCTCGAAGAGAGAAGATTTTTCAATCTGGTATGTTATGCAACTACATAATTGTGAGAAATAAATGGATTCTTGTTCATTGGGATTCTTTCTCGTCCCTTATGCTTCTACCATTGGAATGATAGGGTGCTGAGTTTGGAGATGAACGAAACAGTAGGGAAGGGTGACTGCAGGAATACCGACACTTACAGCCACCGTCTTAGGATGTTGATGCTGCTGAAACTTCTCAGCACATTTCCTTCTTTCATTCAGAATATTACTAGCAGTATAAAAATGAAAGCACCTGCCCAAAGAATGCCGTATATGTATCGACAGCTTATGTATGTATATGTTTAAATAAAACTGCTGCAAGCTCATGTGTTCTAATGTAATAAATTTTGGGCAGAACTTACCAAAACCAATTTTGTATTATCAGATTCAGATGGGTGCATCTTTCTGATTCTTCTCTTTTAAGCATTATACTTGTTATATTTCACATGACATTAACCTCTTGCCTTCAAAAGAAATGCTATTTTCTGAATTCTTGTATGTGGTGACTTCTTCCTTTGGCACGTACTTGATGGCTCATGTCACATTGTATGCCATCATCCATGTGAGACTAATTAGGGTGTCATCTCATGTTAGTGTAGTTGAGGGTCAGGATCTATTCTAAGACACAGTTCAATAATATCGATAACCATATCTCCCAAAGGCTTGGTTCGGTTCTATATAACTCAGTTTTATTGTTTTTGTGGTTGGAGAATCTTACATAGTTCATCATTGTTAGCCATGATAAGATCCTGCAACTTAAACGATATTTTTTCTAATGAACATCGTTAGCCATGATAAGATCATACAACTTAAAAGGTAAATTTTAGATAATTTTTCTAATCGAGTTAATTTTGCTACTTAGAATCATAAAAAAATGATACAAATGTGTTCGAAATTCATAGGGTTGCCTAAGAAGAGTTTACTAAAAAAATTTAAATAATAAATTGAACTATATTTATTTAATTAAATAACAACAATAAAGTTGTAAATCCTAATTAAATGGTTTTTTTATCATCATTGAGATTCATAAAAATTATATATTTAATTAAACTTAAAATATTTAAATAGTTATTTATAACTTTATTAATATTTTTTTTATCTCTCCTCATTGTACTATTAACATTAATTATTTCATAAAAAATAATCTATATAATTAATCTTAAATAATTAAGATATTGCGGCATGTTATTATTGTTGAGTGAAAGAAAAATTTTCGATTCATTTCCATGATAACTAAAGAAATTGAAGTTTATCGTTCGAGTAACCCACAATTAGGCAGCTTATAAAAATCCAACCTATATTATGCACATTTTGGAGTGGTAGAGTGAGGTGTTCGACAACCTCCAAAAGCTTGGAGTAGGAGAGATCTCTCGCAAGGCCAAAAAGACAAGGATGCGTCACCAACCCCAAAAGACAAATGCTCCAATGAGTTCGCACGAGACAATTCCTTGCCTCGCAAGCATGGCCTTCTGATTTGGTCTTCCGCACGTTGTCTCGTTCGACGGCCGAGTCGCCCCCGTCGTCTTACTACGCACGAATCTCAACGAAGCTCCATCCCAAGAAATTAAATGAGAAAAGGTTTGTGCTTGAAATAATAATAATAATAATAATAATAATAATTAATGATTTCTGTTCATGAATCACTAAATTAAAAAACAATTATAAAATAATAGTATAATAGTAACAATAATATTAGTAATAATAGTAGAGGACTTTTCGTTTTGGGGCATTCTGGATATAACGTGTCTGTTTTCTCCGCCCACCGCCTCTGATCTGTTCCTTTCTTCTTCGTCCTCCTCCTCCACGCCCCCCTTCACTCAGCGTTGGGATTAGGATCAGGATCAGGGCTTCGAAGAGGGAGATGACGAGAGGCGAGGAGGACCAGACGTCGAGGTTCCTCAACGAGCTCTGCTCCATCCTTTTCGCCGTCCTCCGTTCCCCACAACTCGCCATCCGCTCCTCCTCGGCCCCCTCCCCCGGCGTCGGGAGGATCGGAACGGAGGAGATGTCTTATCGTTCTCCTCTACCGACTCCACGGCGGCGGAGGCTGCCGCAGGCGTCGCCGGCGGCCGTGGCGTCCTTGATGCTAGGGGTCTCGATAGCGCTCATGCTCGGTGGGTCCGTCACGTTCGTGCTTGGGTTCATGTTGATGCCATGGGTGATAGGGATGCTGACCATGTTGTACTTGGCCGGGATCGTCATGACCGTGTCGGAATTGGGACGGGCCATCCTGTTTCCCTCCACCACCAAGGAGGTCAAAGGTGAGATGTTTAATGAGCTTCTTGGTTGGATTGTGATTTAGACTTTTGTGATTGTAGCTTCTGTTTCTGGAAATTAGGAACTTTTGCACTCTTGACGGAATCAACTCTTCCTCGTGGTGCGAACTTACATTATTTACATTGCCCTCTCTAGATATCATTTTATTTCATCAATCATAGCTTTTCTTTTCATCAGTCATGAGAGAGTAGATCGCTTTGTCTGTAAAATTTATGTTTTTGGGTCTCCCTGTGTTCTTCTGAACATCAATATTTGCGGGTAAAACGTTGTGCATACTTGCTGGAGTTCTTGATGAGAGTCTCCTCTTGCTTCTAGTAAGATCACTTTTAATTGGGTCTTTCTCTAAGGTTGTTGAAGGACCACAATCAATTGGCTAAGATGTCTCTGACTTCATCAATTTATTTACGAGGAATTCTTTCAAATGCACCAAAGTTACTTTTCTTTTTTTTGTAATCTTTTGAGCTAGGATCCACCAATTGTCTTCTCATCATTTTCTGTTTTCATTCATTTATGTGGACCCAATTATAGTGGTGGTTCTCAGTACTAGTGGAGGACTGACAAAGTAATTGGACAATAACAATGGAAGGCATGACTGAACATGATCTGCATCTTTTTCTTCTTGTGTGTTTTGCATTTTTATTTCGAATTCAAAGAATAATTTCTTTATGCTGCCTGTTCTGTCTTAACTATGCTGTTCAGTTCGTCTCTTGATGCTGGAGTTGTCCAATCTCACAAGATAACTATTTCTAATTGTCCAGATGGGATTATTTTGGAGAGGCTTGGCTGGTTGTCAGTCACATCACAATTTCCTAGATGCCCCTAGAATGGTTATTTGCCTTCTTTAAGTCACTCCCATCTATGACTGTCAATCTGAAACTAATGCTTTTTTAATTGTTGCTGGTTTCTTTCCTAATATTATAGTGCCTATTAGATGACATTCTTTTCATTATCTTCACCCTCTTGGTCACATGGCCCATACTTGTCTACTATTTACATTTGAGCCTGTAGTATTCAGTGATGCATGAGTTAGATTCAGTTGCTTATCTGGTTGCTCAATGTGGTGGGCAGATGAGATATAAATGAAGTCTCATGGTAGGGGGAAAGAAATATATATTTTAGAATTTATAATTGATATTTATGTTTAATTTTATAAAAATGTGAACTGAAGGAGGTCTATAAAATTTCTCTCCCTTGGTATTCATAATTGATGATAAAAAATGCTCATCCTCTGTGATATATCTAAAGCATGGATAAGTGTCTGGCATGGTTAGCAGTCAACAAAATACTAATATATTTGTTTAGCATAATCACAAAATATATGGATGTGTGGATCAAGCAGTGCCACAATTTTGTTCTTTCAAAACTTGACAGATTTAAGCAGCACTGCTCACGGTGAATGATTTGCAAAGTAATAGATTCTTTCAACTTTTCATGGTGATTGATTGATTATCTGAAGGGACATTAGAGAAGATTCCACATGGATTTGAGTGGTTACATGTTATACATAATTATTGCATCTTAGTTGGTTGGAAAATGACACATTATCAAGATGGTCGCCCGGAAACTCGAAAGTGATTGGCTTTCTGACAAATGGCCAACCATATTTCATGAAGATAAGAGTTGCTGATTGATTGAAAGTTGCTGTTCCATTTAGGATGAAAACTATTTAACACAATCACAAAATTATGATAGTACCGAGACTGTTTATTCTCCCATTCTAAAACATTCAATATCTGGTAGGTGCAAATAATGGTAAATTCGCAGAATTTTTGTGTGCAAATTCTGGATTCAGTCATGTATTTCTCTTTGAAGCTAGCTGTAGTCTGACTTGGTCATGTCAAGTTACAGGGCCACTAAAGATTTTTCAAGTTCTGCCCAGAAGATAATTGGACCGCCATACAGCTGAAAGAAAATTTGAATATCATTCTGATTGAATTCCATGATAATGAAATGGCCGGTGGTAGCTTGCTCTAAACAGTTTTATTTCATGATTGAATTTCCAGTCACACATGATCTGGAAAATGGTCTAAAGAGTGATATAATGAACACGATCATATTGGATTCGTGATTTACTTGTATTTAGGTGGGAGTTCTGGTGATGATAAATGCAGAAGTAATCTCATGATATCTTTGGTAGCTTACGCCTCTATTACATCTGATTGGTGGCAGATGATATTTAAGGCTCATGACATTTTGCTTGGATGAATCATCACATGTATTTTGCAAATCATTTTACTTTCATAAATCCGTCACATATGTTAATCAATTACACCATGTTGGCAACTGTAACACATCTCAAATACATTATGTTATTGCTTGGCATTGCAGGCAAACTCCCGTCTAAACTTCCAGCAGATTAAGAGTACTTTCGACAAGAAAAAATGGCAACTCTCCTGTTAGAGTTGGTACCGACATGAATGTTGGATGGCTGCTATATTAACCGTGAGCAGTGCTGCTTAAAATGAGGTTTCGACCTCTTAATGTTTTACATTTGGTTTGTAAAGTTGATATATTTTTTTACTTTTGGGTTGTAACAAATATAAGATATATCACACAAATTCTATGCATCCAACTGCATTGTCATGTTTATATACCATCCTTGGACTGTTGATTGTTGCCTGTTGAACACCAGTGGCTAACAGATGTTTTGCAGATTGAATGAGTTTTCCTATATTATTCTAAGCTTTAAGATTTTTCTTTCCTTCAGATTCCTCCACCTTCAATCCTTCCCAGTAGAATGATTTTAATAATATTTTAGTCGAATTATTATTTATCTCAAAAGCATAAGCTGCTAAAAAAAATTCATCCCTACTTCAAACTCTTAACATATATTTGAGGTCTCATCCTACTTTTTTTTTTTCTCTCATTCCTACAAACTAAAATGATAAAAAATCTTGATTTTTGTTTCCCACACGTTTATGTCGATCATTTCAGTATGAGTGAGTAAAAAAAGTGGAGACTATTAATGAGAAGCTGTCAATCATGTTGGGTGGGAGATTGACCAGATTGTGACATCTGAATATTCTCTTGAGGATTTATTTTGTGGGTGTGATTTATTTTCCCTCGACTATCTCAGTCCTGTTGTAGTCTTCTCTCTCCAAACGAATTGAAGATCCAATCATTCTAAGTGCAGCTAAGAAGGACCG